TGATATTCCTCCATGGTTCTGCAAAGGTCGCACAATACACCTTCCCATAAAAACGATATCTTCGCTGATCCCAAAAACGTCCGTCCTGTCACATGTTTGAATAGTCAATATATTATCTTCACAGGGTGTTTGCTAAATCTCGTGCCATCTTATTGGTCTTCCAATGACATAATTTGTAGAGAATAGAAGGGAGAAAGGAAGGGTGGTTGAGGTGCAAGGATCACCTTCTTGTACAAAAAATGATTTTGTAATATGCTAAAATATATCACCGCAAACTCTTCATGTGCTTGATTGACTACAAAAAGGCATACGACTCTGTCCCTCATGAATGGATTCTGAAGTCTCTTCATTGTATTGACCTCCATGAGCGACTACTTTATTTAATCAAGTCTTTAATGAGTTGCTGTCGGTGTTTCCCGTTTTAATAACAAGTCATGCTTAGGACATTCGTAAAGGACGCTCCAAGTGACATAACTGTATGGGGTTCGCTAGATATATGTTCGTCCGGGCGCGAGGGCACGATAGTCGATTTAATGCAACGTTTCATTCATTCATTCGAACTTTTTAATTTCTTATTGTAATCTAATTTGTTTTGGAATAAATTACATGGTAGCTTCCCTGAGAGCTGATAGTTACTATTATTGAGAGAAATGCATTACTTTTTTAGAGAAGTGTGTTGGGATACAGTGCCTTTAAGCTAAGTTGCTGACGCGCACATCCCTTTCAGAGCCTTCATCTCTTTAAATACTGCTCTTATAATGTCAATAATACTAACAATAATTTATAAAGCGCAATATGCAATACATTCAGAATATACTCAAAAATTAGGTTAAATTAGATTCAAATGCTTCTATTTCAAATATGGGCGATTATAGTTCAACCAGCTATTTCGAATGCTCATGCGTGTGACAAAGTGACCATAAGTACCAACAAGAGATTTTACAGTTTTCGGTAAACACCTTAAAATACACTATAATATCTTGATTAATATACATGTAATTCAAGAATCGAAGCTCTTGATGAGAACAGTTTGCGTCATCTGCAGTGTTTGCATTGTTGGTATTTAGGCATGTTTGGACTAGTAATCATATGTACCATTACTTGTTTTACTGTCATGCACTGTTCAGTTCTCAGCCAAAGCTTTATAATAAAATACATTGGATCTGGACCAGACAAGCCAGTGATTGATAAATAGAGCATTAATTCACGCAAATGAGGTACGATGCAATAAACGCTTTTGATATGTCCAGATGCAGGTGGAAAATATCTGTAAATGTCCTCACATAAATAGGAATTAAGTTTCTAACTCTGTTTCATATTGGAAGCAAAGCAAGGTTAAACAGAATACGCAAGGTTTCTCGATATTCAAGGTGATGATGTTAAATATCCGCAATTGTAGCTGTAAGAACATGACACTAAATATTCCTTCGGGCTGTATTTTTTATACCAAGTTCTAAGAATGCTCATTAATCAAAGGGGACAATATTTTAAGTACGGAACTTTAGGTATACCCTTGGTGGTGGACTTCAACCATCTAGACCAAGCGGAACAATATTTATCGCAGAGGTTGAGTTCGTGTTCTTGTGACTCATTGTGTGCCTTGATGAAGGTACGCAAAGCCAAAGGCCCTAGTAAAAATCGGTGGTCGTTGGGAATATATGCTTAGGATCCACAGCTTTTTGGTCTCTGTTTCTGAGGCCATCTGTATTTATCATCTAATGGAGGGTGTTATCGGTGCAATAAAGCAATCTGATAAACTTGGTATCCAAATCTGATAACTATTTTAATTAGGTCAATCCACGAACTACTTTCACAAAACTCCATACATGCCATGCGAATCCTAAAACGTTTAATATTTCATTGATGACGTCGTCGCAAGTTTACATTGTTTGTAAACAAACATGGCTGCCCCCATTCTCAAAATTTGTGATTCTGTAAGAATTGATGACCGAGGTTCTGGAGTCGTTACTGCAGTAATTGACCTTGGAAAACATGAAACGGAGTACTTCGTTCAAATTGAAGGCACAGATTATGAGGTACGACTGAAAGGCAATCGTCTAAGAAAGGTACCAACCAAGGATTTCGATCTATCAACCACAATACTGACGACGAATCCGTTCCGTCAGGTATCAGAAACTGATATTGATGAGGGGATTACCCGCAGTGAAAATAGAAACAGTCCCAGAAAAACCCCGCCAGATTTCGTTGTTCTTTTTAGACAGAAAGATCTTATTTTAAGCGTGAGTTATGTTTGCACTGTATTAGCGACTAGTCACAACCATATAGCGCCGTCATGAACGACCTTCACCTTGATGTACCGCTAAGTATTCTTACGCGAATGCTCGATTCTCTTCATATAAATTCACGTACGATTTGCTTCTACTATTTTTAGAGTAATTTTTAGAATGTCATTATATGATAAAGAGATTATTAACCTCGTGTGTTTTCGTATCATTAATGTTTATTTTTATTCATAATATATGATATTAATGATACGGAAACACACTCGGTTAATAATATCTATTTATTAAATTAGGCGTTTCCATCTTCATTCTCATCTGGCAAGTAAACAGACGTGCAAAATAAATAAGAAAGAAAGAAAAGAAAGAAAGAAATAAGTGTGTTTTCACTAATATTTAACTTTTTCTATGAAATGATAAACAATAGACTGCTTGGTGGTAGTTCTAATTATGTAGATCCAGTCGCTTTGGTTTGGAAACAATTTTGGAATAATTGTAGATGACGAAAGATCAAGTTGACCTTTTTCATAAATGTGCAAGCGGTAAGAATATACTAAAAGTATTTTTATCACATCAGTGCATATAAATCTATTTCCACAACATAGGGAAATTTAAGATGCAAAATCTTTATTATTATTTCACGTCGGAATGGAAATTCAGGGCGGACGGAGATGGGGAACACAGAAAGTATTGTCTAACCTTGATATCCCATGAGCAATGCACTTCGACCTACTTTACCCAACTGAGCGCAATGACGTTTTCAGATGCATTTCAAGTGATAAAATTGCTCTTGTTTCCAACTTAACAGAAACATTTTTTTCTAATGGATGGTTTTAATTTTCACTTTATAATTTCGAAATTATCGTTATTTTACGAAACATTTAATTATGGAATCTCTGAAGTGACAATTCTCAAATCTTGTTATTTAGTACACGGTTCGCAGAGGAAATAAACTATTCAGCGTCAAACAAAATCTGAAGGGGAAAATATCCTTTACATAATCATAAAAATCTCTGACTAAAGCAGAGTCTATTGTACATTGAGACATAATGAGCATGTGTTTATGAATCACTATCAGACACTGGTGAGGCCTTGGCTAAACGATAGACGCATCCTGCCTCTCCCGTGGCACCGCCGTAGACATGCCAAAGCCAGCCATTTGTTCTCCTGAAAACACGTTTTCGTAAAAATAGGGATAAGCTTCGGAAATGGAAATTTGGAAATGTCCTCCTCATGGCTATCATAAAAGAGATTGAAAAGCTTTACTGGGGTCCTGAATGTTGCAACCTTGAACAAACAAGTTCTGTGCAGCAGGCGTATATCGCTGTTTGAACTCTTGGTAGAAAGCATGATGGATTACACCTATGTCCCGGTATGTGGCATGTTCTTGACACTTTGATCATGTTGAAATGTGCGGATAAAATAGTCGACTGCTTGAAGTTGGTTTAGGGGAAGGTACACCAGTCTTCATTACAATGTCGTTTGCAAGCTGCGTATCACTAGATAAGTGCCTTCGAGTGTGACTGTATACATGAGTACAGAATTTCTGATGCGGATTTTATATTTATGTGTCTAGATGTATGCATTCACAATTGTTTTCAGTCACAATATCTTAATGTCGCCAATTATCTGTACAACATAACCGCCATTATTTAAAGTAAAAATTATTGTTATTTTTGGAAAACTTTTCACCTGTACCACCCTGGGTGGTTCTATTTGAGAATAAATGAGTTGAATTGTTGGGTTGAGTTCCATCCGGCCGATTGTATGAGCGTCTCAATCACTTTTTCACTCGAAATAAACTCGCTACACTCTCTAACACAAAATAATACCTCAAGATAATTGTGCTGATGTTTTTTTGTTGCGTAGACGTGATGAAGGTGATACTTGTAGCGGCTCTGCTGGTGTGTCTGCTGGCGATACACACTGATGCAATCTACCGCAACTACCGGATCAGGATGTACTGGAGCAGAACTTCATACTGTATCTATCGAGCAGCAAGGAGGCTATCTCGCTGTTACGGCGTGAGATCCAGGTTCCAATACTATCATGGAAAGAGAGGTATGTTTTAAGTGAAGTGCAACATGGCCGTTGGCAAACTGTTTTGTGTGAGGAAAATGTAAGTCTGTAGGCTTAACTTCCTGGTTGTTCCATTAATTATGATAAAAAGATTTGTGTCTGAAGCTGCATCTTTATGATGCACGACCAGTTCGTTAACGTGTTCAAACGCAATGTACAGTTAAAGCAGAAAACAGCTTGTTTTCATGATGTAGCGTGAATCATGATATATGCCATCAGCAAAGAGACTTTGTATATGCCCCACTAGGGATGAGATGTGTTGACAGAGTTAACAGAATTATTTGAGTCATGCTTGTGCGTGATCTTCTGGTGGGACAGTAGGGCTAGTCACGCAGAAGATCCGGGTTCGATTCCCGTCATAGGTACATATGTAAAGCCCATTCCCGGTGTAATATTACTGGCTTTGCTAAAAGCGGCGTAAAACCTTATTCACCCTCTCATGTGTTATACCTCGTCCCAAGATACCAACTTGTCCTTATTTAAGCCACGTGCATAAGTTCTAATGGTCTGACATTTTCATGACAGAACATAAGCGAACCAAAAACGCATGTTAATAGTTACGGCAATTATGTCAAAGCGTGATACACGAGGCAGTCGATGATATAAATATTCTTAATGTTGTCTTTAATTTGCTTCTTCATCAAAACAAACCAACATTCTGTTGAACACCATACTTTTCAGGAATCGAGAATGCAGATGAGAATGCAGATGAGAATACTGAGCAGCCAGAGAACGATGACCTAATCAGCGCCAGAGATGTCATGGAGACAGTCATGGATGAACAAGGAGGTATTACAGCTCGATTATAATACTCAGTTTCCGAAACCTTTTGTATGATTCCTACTATATCATAAGCATGGTTCCCCAAACGGTAGGGTATTTTGCTCTACCGGTAGCACAAGTCACAGACTGGTGGAAAGGAAAGTGAGTTGTTCCCCGAAAAGAAACTCCTATGTGTTACATCACCAAGCTGGACGTTGAATCAGATCACTGGTATGTCAGAACCTGAAATGCCATCTAAATGCACACCATATTCCATTTTGACAGATTTACCGAGGCCTAGAAATACTCGATGGTTCGTCAAACTCTGTGAAATATGAGACACCAAAGTTGTTGTTTTTTCTTTTAGTCTTGATGCATAGATCTAAATATAGAAGAGATGGGGTCTCTTGTATTTCTAGTTGAGCGGGCTAAGTAAGTAATAGGGAATTTGCTAATGGACCTTTATTGAGCATCTTGGCCAAATTCCCTTGTTTTAATTTTGCCAAACCATTCAGAAATTGTGACTGTTATTCATAAAGAAGGAAGCATAGTGCTTATGGGGACGCCTACTTATTGTCTAAATATATTCTCCACAAATTCCACATGTATGTTACACATGTACAGCATTTCACATGGTGTTTCTTTCTCTCCTGACTGCTGGGGAGGTTTACATTCTTTCTCTCCCGACTCCTGGGGACTCATTTACATTTTTGGACAAATTGTCCTAGAACTTTGAAGGAAGATGTATAATTATGTCCAAAGTTAAGTGACAAATGATCGATAGATCAAATATGGAACGTACAGAATACCTAGTCTTGACTATACTCAGAGACAAATTTCGGTTGGTGTAAATATATAATATTTTATCTATGAAACAGGGATTTGGTGGAACATTTGCAGGACGCATTCATAGTTTCTCTTTGTAATATGTTGAGGTTTTCGAGTCAAGCTGAACGTTGACAGTATCCCTACATTGTTTGTTCTGATTTCTTCGCAAGTGAACCTACTGCCCTATTTCCTGGCATTATCCGATACGTCGTCACTTATACCAAGTTGGATTCTTTAACCAAACAATTGATTTGTTGATTTTGCCAAATTTAGCCGTCTAAATTATGATTTGCAACATCCCCGTCCCACGAATGGTGATTTTTTCGATTTATTTTCTAGGGAAAGCTGACAATGACTGTAATCCTACTGTCTAGGCGAATGCTGGATCTGTCATATAAAGCGAACATTCTTATTGGCACTCAGCCAACTGTCAGACACCTTTCCTCAGAACGTTTACAGGCGGCACCGCGTAGTGGTAAAGCGTTCTGCTCATATACATGAGGATCGATTCGATTCCCCAAACATTGTGTTAGGTATTTCTGACACCGCCGTCATATTGTAAAATCATGTCAGACACCTTTCTCAGTAGTTTACCTTTTATTTTGCTGGGAGGGCGTGGTTTGATTAAGCGTACTTCATTGTGGACTTACGCAAACATTTATTTGTCAGATGTTGGTTTTGTTCATGATTCAGCTGGACGATACAGACATAATTGTCAAAGTGTCGAAGTGCCTTAAACAAATCGGTACAGGCTCAGTTTTTAGGGAGAGCTTTATGAACGACCTGCAGCACAGAGTTCATGTTGAGAAGAAGCCCCGCAGAGTCTCGCTTGTATGAATTCGGCGGGCCTGAAAAGTGAAACAGAAGGCTTTCAGTTTGCTGCTAAGAACCAGTCACTTCTCCCTGAAACAGGCTATATCTTGCACCAGAGTGAAGATGTGAAATATAGATTATGAAATGAATATCCTGAGACTGTCCAACACCTTGTGGTGGATGCCCAGCCTTGGATCAAAGACAGAATCTTAAGCGACATGGCATGACCCAGAATATGTACAGGGCGTCATGAAAATGATAGTTTTAAGATACGGCCTAAGGCATATGAAAGATAACAAACCTGACCTTGTCGTTTTAATTAAACAAATGAAATCGTTTCTACAAATAAAAGTAATTTTCGTAGTAGGTTGCAAATATAGTGCAAGCAAATGGGCCCTCCATACTAACGAAATGTCATCTCTGCATCTTTATGTCAGGATCACCAGAACCCTCTTTGCTGCATTCATGTATTTTAATATGTCAATAATATTTGTGACTTTGTACTTATGTGTTTTCAGGATCCATTCCCGATGGTGAAAGACACTATGATCTTCCGTCGTACATCGTCTGAGTGTCTCTGATTCAGTTAACATAATAAATCCTTGAAGCAGAGTTTGTCGTTGTGTAATTGATGCTTTGTTCTTTGTTGTGCCTCTTCTGAGAGGATTTAAAGGGAGGGGAGGTAACCTTGCAGTTACAGTCCTGGCATATCACGTGGAAGATCTGGGTTTGATTGCACACAGGGTTACAATCCGTGAAGACAGTTCCCAGTGCACCTCACCTTCATGTATTGGGATGTTGCTTAATGTGATAAACTTCATGGTGATAAACAATATTGCAAAAGACAACAACACATTATCCGAACAGACAGGTTCAATTCAACACCAACCGTGGTGGCTAAGTCGTCTTTACGGTAGAGAGTTGCTCCCACTAGGCGTTCAAGAAACCTTTGACCGTTGGTTGGATTGGTTTGGTTTGGTTTGGTTGTTGTTTAACGCCACACTCGGCAATATTTGCAGCTATATGGCGGCGGTCTGTAAATAATCGAGTCTGGACCAGACAATCCTGTTATCAACAGTTTGAGCATCGATGAATGCAACTTGGAACCGATGACATGTGTCAACCAAGTCAGAGAACCTGACCACCCGATCCCGTTAGTCGCCTCTTACGACAAGCATGGGTTGCTTAAGATCTTCTCGGGTCTATCGCAGGTTGGAGTCCCACGTGGCCCATAATATGTTTCTAGATTTGTCAACGGCATACCTGTAACGTGTGGATGTTTCCAAATGATAAAAGTCAAAGACCAGTTCACTTAGCATTTTCCTCTTATATGAAGATTGTCACATACTAGAGTAAACGCAAGACCCAAATTAAAAGCTAATATAATTTATTCTCTAAATTTACCTTATTTACAATAGTTCATATAGGCTTGCATTCACAACTTCATTCTCGCATTACCAAATACACTCACACTCTTTCCCCTACACGCCCAAACAAGCACATCATACCTCACAATTCATATATACTCACATACACTCACATCAACACTCAAAATATCACAACACTACAAATGTCTTTTTAAAGAAACAAACAACAATTCATATGATTACGTTTTATAGATGGACGATGGAAGAATTAAACAAATTCATTGAAAGCACAAATCAATAATTATTGTATACTGTACAAATCATTGTCGATGTTGTTATCACCACATGTGGGATTTTCAGACAGTTCAGTTCTGTAGTGGTAGGTTAGGGGTCCTTCCCCTGCATATAAATCTTTACACACTTCGGCGGCATGTCACTCTGATCCCTGCTGATCAGTCGGTACAGACTTACTGGCGGGGCACGTCACTCTCCCCAAGACACACAGATGTCAGTTCACATCACAGGCGGCATGTCAGGATCGATCCCTCGCGATCGGCGGGACAGCCTTACGGGGTGTAACACCTACCCCGGACAACCAGTTGAATATACAGGGAAAACAGCCAACCTGACACACACATACACTTTCCAACTGATTGCCAACTCACATCTTTCAAATCAGTCCTTATACCCCCCAAGCTACTTGATTGACCCCAAGCTTACTACCAGATACATACAATGGTCTCTCATACTGCACACCTCCAACACAAACAATCGCTCACCGCTTACATCACTGCTCTTGCTCGCAAGTCCTCACTCCAAACCTGTCACACCTCAAATATAAGATAAAACAGACATTACACTACTTGTGATCTTGACAAAGATGGTACCCCATTATATAACTGAAATACAAATTCGATGCTGCGTTCAAACCGAGCTACTCTCTAACCCTGATGGAACATCGTACCTTATGATCTTACATAACAGCAATCACACGTATAATCCTGCTACATGGCGTGTCCCAAGTCTGTCATCTGAATGCGCTTTCTGAATCCTCATTCTTTTTCTTATTTATGTATTTGAATAAATGAAGGGTTTTATCGTTGATGGGATGATCATTAGGAATGTCGATAAAGAAAATATCGTTATTCTTTACACGCTGGAAGACCCAAAACCAACACAGCCTTACTCAGGGATGCAGATAACTCAAGAATGCTATAAAATATAGGCAAAATACAAATATATACTTAAAATATCTGGAGTTTAGAGCTGAGCGGCCACAAAACGTCAAAGTAAAGAAATACTTGTGTTAAAAGGAAGAGACAAAACATTCAAGTTATTAACACCCTCACACGAAGGATCATGTCAGACACCTCCATTGCTCGTTTCACTGTCGTTTATATACTGAGTCAAAAAGGAAACTTCACAAAATGTAATTTGAAAAATAATGAATAATTTTTCTCTGATGATACATCTATGTATCCAAAATGGGATCCCTATCTTTCGACTCTAGAAAAACGTTAGCAAAACCCTCTCAAACCCATCCATTCGTCGTGCAAATGACGTTAGTGCCAAATCAAGTTTTCTTCATATGCACGTGTTTGCATTGGTCTCAAGACTTGAAAAAACACTTTAAAACCACAGTTCTAACGGTACTTGAAATGCCACGATTGTCAAATGTGCAACGTGAACGTGCCGTTGGCATGTTGCAAGCGGGAAGATCAATTATTGACGTCGCAAGAGCAATGGGATGCAGCCATCGTACTGTGTATGACTTGCGAGGTCGTCTACAACAAACTGGCACCACTTCTGATCGCCCAAGGTCGGGTCGTCCACGTGTGACGTCACGAGCAGAAGACCGTCAAATCGTCCTACGTCACTTACGTGACAGATTTCTGCCGGCTACACGAGCCAGGGCTGAGATGTTTAGAGGTCGACTGTCCTCACAGACCATTCGAAATCGGTTGCGGGCTGCCAATCTCCACGCTCGACGTCCATATCGTTGGCCAATATTGACGCCGTTTCATCAACCAGAATCCCCAACCACGTGTTCACAAGCATCAGGCAGTCGATGAGGAGACGGTGTTTGGCAGTGGTGAATGCGCGGGAGTGGTTTGATCAAAGTGATTGCACTTCATTTTGCACTATAGAAAACATTTATTTGTCAGAACTCATGAAAACAAAGCATTCGACAGACAGACAGACAGACAGACAGAAAGACAGACATATATTCAGTAATAGGCCACTGGCTCAAAATACATTCATAGATATAATAAGAAGTTAAATGCGTTTTACATAAAAACATCAGAAATTTATGTTTGTTGAAGTCATTATGTTTATAAAGCTGTGTTGTGAAATAGGATGTTTGAAATATTTATCCAGAAACTTATTCCTTATATCTAGGTATCGAGCCACGAATGTTGAACACAATCTCAATGTCGATGTTGGTTTTGTTTATGGTTCAGTATTGCTGGACGAAAGAGACATGAGTGTCAACCGAGCGACGTGACGTGTCAAATCGGCACAGGCTCAGTTTTTAAGGGAGGGCTTTATGAACGACCGCTGCACCGAATTCATGTAAAATGTGTTGAAAAGAAGCCTCGCAGAGTCGTTCGCTTGTATGAAGTCGGCAGGCCTGAAAAGTGAAACAGAAGGCTTTCTGTTTGCTGCTAAGAACCAGTCACTTCCTCCCTCGAAACATGCTATGAGTAATTTTGTATCGGAATGAAGATGTGAAATGTAGATATTGAAATAGATATACTGATGTTGCCCAACACCTTGTGGTGGATGCCCAGCCTTAGCTCCAACACAGAATCTTAAGCGACATGGTATGACCCAGAATATGTACAGGGTGTCATAAAGATGATAGATTTAGGATACACCTAAGAAAAGGAACCGGATATATTTCTTCTTCTAACTGACTGACTGACTGAGTTTAGTTTTATGCCGCTTTTAGCAATATTCCAGCAATATCACGGCGGGGGACACCAGAAATGGGCTTAACACATTGTGCCCATGTGGATAATCGAACCCGGGTCTTCGGCGTGACGAGCCAACGCTTTAACCACTAGGCTACCCCACCGCCCCTCTTCTTCTAACACTTTACCCTTGAGGCAGCGGCGGGGGCCTGCCGTAAGGCGTTCGTTCGTCACACAGAAGGCCCAGGATGAATTCCCCTGAATGGTATAGGTAAAGTCCATGTGTGCCCCCCCTTCTCTCTCTATCTCTATCACACACACACACACACACACACACACACGCTGATATTATTGGAATGTTTCTGATTTATAACTGAACTTTGATACTGATATATCTGCAGCCTCGAGTATCACCAACATATAGCTTAGCCTGACTAAAGTCTTGTTCAATGCAATTCGCTTTTTTGACTTCAACCACATCATCAGATTTTACAGGTGAACCATTGACATTATTTGAGTTTGTGATGAGTACACAGCCAATGGACAGAATACGCTCACCACTTTGCAAAGAATGTCACTTGATTGTATTTTATAAACATATGTTCATAATATAGTTTAAATCAGACAATACGCAATGTGTATTTCTAATAGATTATACAGTTAATCTGGAAAAAAGATTGTAGTAATGCTGAAGAGATATATAGACTTCTGATTTGCTAGTTGGTGTGGTCTTGCCAGTTTTCATCTTTGTCAAACTTTCACTACCAATGTCTATGGCTAGTGTTGTACAGTAACACATATTTTTCCGTCGCTGAACACGTCATTAGATCATTAGCACAATATCTACCTACCAACTACCAATATCTATTTCCAGTTTTGCACACAATCGCATACAGATTTTTTTCCTTTCAAAACGTGTTAGATCATTAGCATAAATCTGACATTACCTGTCTGACGCGGATAATATCGTTTTACGATCGAATTGTTTTCTAACAGGTCGTAAGTCCGGTCTGACTACGCGATGACACTTCAAAGTGTGGTATTGTAAACTATCTGGAAAGGGATCATGTGTCCAGCGGAAAGCAGCACCACTTGTGAAATATAATCAGTGATTTCACAGTAGCAACTCTCCAGGGTGACACATGTGTGGTGTGAAAGTTTTTACGAGCTTGTGCCCATATGTGACATGCTCCGATGACACTATTACTCCATATAAGCCGGCCTTGAAACCCGCATAAATGCACAACTTCCATTGCATTGCAAGAAGAGACAACAAAGATGTAAGTAGTAACTTTGACCATGTTCACCCATCTTTATCTATCACCTATATTTTGTCTATCATCTATATTGACGCCTTTGTTTTGTCTACCATCTACATGTATGCGTCTGTTTTGTCTATTATCTATATGTACGCCTTTGTTTTGTCTATCATCTATATGCATGCCTTTGTTTTGTCTATTATCTATATGCATGCCTTTGTTTTGTCTATTATATATATGCACGCCTTTGTTTTGTCTATCATCTATATGCATGCCTTTGTTTTGTCTATTATCTATATGCATGCCTTTGTTTTGTCTATTATATATATGTACGCCTTTGTTTTGTCTATTATCTATATGTATGCCTTTGTTTTGTCTATTATATATATGCACGCCTTTGTTTTGTCTATTATATATATGCACGCCTTTGCTTTGTCTATTATCTATATGCACGCCTTTGTTTTGTCTATTATCTATATGTATGCCTTGGTTTTGTCTATCATCTATATGCATGCCTTTGTTTTGTCTATTATCTATATGTATGCCTTTGTTTTGTCTATTATCTATATGCATGCCTTTGTTTTGTCTATTATATATATGTATGCCTTTGTTTTGTATATCATCTATATGCATGCCTTTGTTTTGTCTATTATCTATATGTATGCCTTTGTTTTGTCTATTATCTATATGCACGCCTTTGTTTTGTCTATTATCTATATGCATTGTTTTGTCTATTATCTATATGCATGCCTTTGTTATGTCTATTATTTATATGTACGCCTTTGTTTTGTCTATCATCTATATTGGCACCCGTGAAGAGCCACCTCCTCGTGGTGGGTGCTGGGTAACGCTTAGCGCTCTTCAACCCCCCGTTGTGGACCCGGGGGTATATTTGGTCCACCAACCCGTTTGCCGTGGGTTGCGCCCCTGTGTCGGTGGAGGAAGGGATTCTGGTGCTTGAGGGCATAGGAACCAGGAACAGTGTTCCTATTGCCCAACACACCACTTCGGCCCTAACTTCACCTAGACGGGTGGTTGAATGGGCCCGGTTCAACCAATCGGCTGGTCACGCCAAGCCCTGAGCATTACATTATGTAATGTTGCACAAAATTTTGAAAATTGTAACATACTATTTTTAAGTCTTGGCGAATTTTTAGAACTTTAGAATTTCAAATACACACTTTCATGTTTTTGCCTAGAGTCGTATGCCCAGAAGGCGTGGGCTCATGGGCCAATCAGGTGCAATACTTACTTTTGTATTATTCTGCTTGCGTATATCATCCGGGTATCCTTGGTGCTGCAGGCTGGAAACCCGCCTGTTTTTAGCATTGTCCTTGTGATACTCCGTGGAGGGTGGGGAGCTCGGATGATGAAACAATATAAACTTACCATGGCTTGCGAAACCCCCCTCAAAAAAACAAAACGTCCTCTTGATACTACTGATCCTGATGTTAACGACCAAAGACTGTCCACATCCATTGACTACTGGCCACGTTTTATTGTAATTGAGACCATTGACAATACTCCATTAAAACTGAACCCTTTTGCCGTATCAAAAGGCATACAAGGCATTGCAGGCGATGTCAGAAACGTTAAACGTTTAGGGTCAGGCTCTTTACTCGTTGAATGCAGTAAGAGGCAACAGGCTACCAACCTCCTGTCAACTAAATCCTTTGTCGGCATTCCCGTATCAGTCTCTGCCCACCGAACGCTTAACACCAGCAAGGGCATAGTTAGAGACCGAGACCGACTTTTTGCTGATATGATGGAAATTGATATTGCCTCCGAGATGAAGGACCAAGGTGTGATATTTGTCAAACGTTTCACTACCCGAAAAAACAACCAGATCCAACAAACCAACAACTATTTGTTTTCATTTTCAAATCCAACTGCTCCTAAATCAATAAAGGCTGGTTACTGTCACATCAAAGTCGAAACGTATATTCCGAATCCACTGAGATGTGTCAAGTGCCAAAAGTATGGTCATGGTGTAAACACCTGCACATTGTCTGTTGTGTGTGCTCACTGCGGTGAGAAGACCCACACAACAGAAGATTGTGACAGTAATTACAAAAAATGCACCAATTGTTCAGGAGACCATTCCTCTTTCTCTAAAGAGTGTCCGATTTGGAAGCACCAGATGGAAATAAACAGGATCAAATTTACTCAAAATATTAGCTTTGCCGAAGCGAAACAACTTGTTCCAAGATGCGACCCACAAGCAACATATGCTTCAAAAACCAAAACACCATCTGAGCCATCCACTAAAGAGTCTAAATCTTCTTCAGGTTCCCAAACAAACTTGACTTGGGTGAACACCGATTCTCCACAGATTTTCTCACCCGAAATATCCACTCAGACTGCTAAGCCACTTCCTGGCTTGTCACAAAATCAATCAGGGTCAGCTTCTGATCATGATTTATCATCACAGCCGCCCACAAGGTCTCAATCGTTGTCTAATGTACAGCAAATTCCTCGAGAAAAAAATAAACCTAAGCCTGATTATTCAAAAAAGCAAAGTGGCAGAGCCCTAAAAGGGTCCGAAAATCAAATCAAACTAATAACAAATATGGATCACTTGAGGACATGGACGTGTCCGAAAACGTCCATTCTAGGGCACAAAGCTTGTCGCCCTCCAAAACAGTGCGGGGTAGATCCCCAATAAATCCCCCTAGAAGATAGTTTATTCCAATAACATCGTACAGTGGAATTGCAGAGGACTACGGCATAATTACAATGAGTTACAGTTATTAGTCCAGGATTGTATGCCATCAGCATTTTGTCTGCAGGAGACTTATTTAAAGCAGACAGATCCTTTTGACCTACGTCATTTCAATGCTTATCATTATTTCTTACCTCCATGTGACAGGGCCACTGGAGGATCTTCAATCCTAGTCAAACAGACTGTTATCCATAGCCCTATTACGCATACTTCTAATCTTCAAGCAGTTGCAGTGCGACTCAATTTACAAGTTGCATTTACATTATGCTCTTTGTATATCTCACCGTCTTCAGTCATTCAGAAGACTGATCTTCAAACTCTGTATGACCAACCACCTAAACCCTGTATTATTATGGGGGACTTGTATGGCCACAACCCACTTTGGGGTGGTACAACTACTAATGCTAAAGGTAAACTGTTAGAAGAGTTCTGTTCAGATAATGATTTATGTATATACGATGACGGTTCCAACACCTATTTACATCCTGGCACTGGAACTTATTCGGCGCTTGATTTATCAATCATGGATTCAAACCTACTGAATGAATTTGAATGGTCAGTTCACGATGACCTCTGTGGAAGTGACCATTTTCCTACAATTCTAACATCCGTGAACCCATCTGATATTACCCCATCTTCAAGATGGAATTTTAAAAAGGCTAACTGGCCTTTGTATCAAGCTCTGTGTTGTAACATACTTAAACCTGAACTTTTTATAGAAAGTCCTGATCCTATAACAGATTTCTCTGATGAACTAATTAACATTGCTGATGAGTGTATCCCCAAATCCTCTGCAATTCCACACATACGAAAACCATGGTTCAACAATGAGTGCAAACAGGCTAGGAAGGCACAGAAGAAAGCTTAGAATTATTTCCGTCGCCATCCTATGGTCCATAATTTGAATAAATTTAAAATTTAAAATGCTAAGGCAAGGCGTACCTTCAAGCAAAGTAAACGTCAATCCTGGCGAAATTATGTATCAAAAAATAAATTCACGAACGCCGATATCCAAAGTATGGAATATGATCCAGTAAATAAAAGGTAAGGGTTGTAAATCTAGCATTAAGCATCTTAAAGGTGGAGACGAATTATTGACTAGTCAATCTGATATTGCAAATAAACTTGGAGAAACTTTGGCCAAACAATCTTCCTCATCGAATTATCTACCTCAATTCCAAAATTATAAAAAACAACAGGAAAAGAAAAATATTAATTTCAATTCAGATAATGGGGAAGATTACAATGAACTATTTTCTATTCATGAGCTTCATACTGCTCTTGACCAGGCTCATGATACTGCTACAGGGGCTGATAACATACATTATCAGCTTCTGAAGCACTTACCGGAATCATGTTTGGAGACCCTCTTAAACATTTTTGATGATATTTAGACATCTGGATATTTTCCTTCTTCATGGCGTGATGCTATTATTGTTCCCATCCCTAAACCTGGACGTGACCATACTGATCCTTCGAATTATCGACCGATCTCACTAACTAGCTGTGTTTGCAAGACCATGGAACGCATGATAAATAATCGACTTGTTTGGTACTTGGAAACCAATAACCTTATAACGGATATTCAATGTGGTTTCAGGAAAAACAGAAGTACTATCGATCATTTAGTGCGTTTAGAATCCTTTGTTAAAAATGCCATTATTTAAAAACAACATGCAGTGTCGATTTTTTTCGATTTAGAAAAAGCATATGACACTACTTGGAAACATGGGATTTTGAAAGATTTACACGATTTTGGATTGCGAGGCCGTTTGCCTCAATTCATATCCAAGTTTTTAACTGACAGGCAATTTCAAGTCCGCGTGGGTTCTACCCTGTCTGATCATTACAATCAGGATCAGGGTGTTCCACAAGGCAGCATTTTGTCTGTCACACTTTTTAGTATCAAGATAAATAGTTTGTCCAAGGTTTTAAATGATTCAATCGATGGGTCGCTGTTTGAGGATGATTTTAATATTTCTTGTCGTGGCAAAAATATGCATACTATTGAACGGCAGCTGCAATTGTGTTTAAACAAAATAGATAAATGGTGTCTTGAAAACGGCTTTAAATTTTCCAAGTCAAAAACTAATTGTATACACTTCTGTAGAAAATATAAACCACATAAGGACCCAGAACTATTTTTAAATGGCACTCCAATCAAAGTTGTCAAGGAGGCCAAGTTCTTGGGTCTAATTTTCGACTCCCATTTAACTTTTCTGCCGCATATTAAATCCCTTAAAAATAAATGCCTGAAGACACTGGATTTATTGAAAGTAGTTTCTAATTCAAAGTGGGG